ATGGATGGATGGATGATGGATGGGTGGATGGCTGGCTGTTTGGATGGATGGATGATGGATGGGTGGATGGAGGGATGGATGGCTAGCTGGCTGGCTGGCTGGTTGGATGGATGGAAGGATGGATGGATGATGGATGCTTGGATAGATGGGAAGGTGGATGGATGGATGGGTGGATGGATGGATGCTTATTTACTCCCATGGGTAATTCAAACATCCAGCAGCAGTTACAGACATAAGACACAAGAGCAAACCTAACCCATATTGTGACACAGGAGCCACCACAGAACCCCTTTTAAGGTTACCTTAAAGCCCTAAAAAGCACTTATCACTGAGTTCCTCCCCTGCCAACAAGATCTTATAAAGTCATATGCCCAGGGGGACAAAAGAGTTCCTCAGTTTCTTTATGGAGCAGGATTGTAACAGCAATCTATGACTGAACGCTCTCCTCTGCATGCTGAAGATGCAGTGCAGAGTGATGGAGAGCTCTCGATGACACAGTGGCAAGAGAGTCCATCTCTGTGCTCACCACAGAGCTATCCTTCCTCACCATTCTGTTCAACTGTGCCATGTCCACATTCCTGGCACAGCCTCCCCAGCTCCCTACAGTATATAAGAGGACACTGGCCACCAAAGACTGATAAAACAAGCCTCCTCAAGAAGTACAGGTGGCTCTGCCCCTTCTTTTAGATAGTGGCTGTGTTCACTGTCCAGTCAAGTCTGTCATCCAACTGCAGTCCTAGGTCTTTAAATGTTAAATGGACTGTACTTATATAGCACCTTTCTATCTTATCCAGATACTCAAAGCGCTTTACACTACAATCTGTGTCCTCATTTACCCATTCATACAGCACTCTACTAGATCTCTACAAAGCTAATTGAACAAATTATTCTAAAGAAACTAATCGGTGTTTTGAGATCACATTCATACACTGATGGGACACACATTGGAGGCAATGAGGGGTTCAGTGTCTTGCCCAGGGACACTTCGACATGTGGTGGATTCGATCCCCCCAACTCTTGCATTGGAGGATGACTGCTCTAACCACTCAGCCACAGCTGCCCTGTAGTCCTGACCATCTCCACATCAGCCCCACTGATGGGCACTGGTTAAAGTACAGGTTTGTTTCTACATACCAATTCTTTTGGAATGAGCATGCTGTCTAGATCACCAAAAAACATTTACTGTACTTTCAATCTTCGTTGCACTGCAGCATGTGAAGAATTTCAAGGAGATTGAAGGGAGACTGTGTCCAAAAATTTTAATGTGTCCTTTTAGTGGAAATTATATTTAAACATCAAATCAGTTTGATAGACAAGTAAAGAAAGTATCTTGTATTGCAACTGCAAGTAAAATAGACATCTGCCAGTCACACAGTGTACAAATTATTTTCATAAAACCTAGTTTATTATAGGTAAAACTGAGACATAAAACTCATGCATATAAGGTTACATTATTGTCATTCTACATCCATACACATCTCAAAATTGAAAAAATAAAGTACAGATCATAGAAAAAAACACAATGAATCTTCTCTACAGCTCAGGGTTGTATGGTCATGAACATTACATCATGGACCACAAGTATGATAGAATGACATAAATGACAGAACAATTGGGTTTTAAAGTATTCAAAACATGTACTATGCATCAAATAAACCAGCCACTAGGGAGCACAAGCCAGTGCATGTCTTGTTCCGGTTCCAAGCCTGGGTAAACGGTGAGGGTTGTGTCAGGAAGGGCATCTGATGTAAAACACTTTTGCCAAAACCGTAATTCGAGTTCATCAAAGCAAAACCATACCAGATCAGTTGAGGCCCGGGTTAACAACGACCGCCACCGGTGCTGATTACAAACAGAGTACCAGCGGAAATTGTGCTACTGTTAGCCAAAGACCACAAGGAGGGAAACATGTCAGGAGACAGAGGGAGAAGAGGAAAGTGAAGAATGTAGGACTGAGGGTTGCAACTCTAAATGTGGGGACAATGATAGACAAAGGTAGAGAGATGGCTAACATGATGCAGAAAAGGAAGGTTGATGTTTTATGTGTCCAAGAGAGCAGGTGGAAGGGCAGCAAGGCTCGCAGCATTGGAGCAGAGTTCAAACTGTTTTACCATGGTGTGGATAGAAAGAGAAATGGAGTAGGGGTGGTCCTGAAGGAGGAGTTGGAAAAGAAAAGAGGTGAAGAGTGTCAGAAAGGGTGATGTGCCTGAAGGTAGAAGGTCAGATGCTAAACATTGTCAGTGGTTATGCTCCACAGGTTGGATGTGATGAGGAAGAGAAAGATACGTTTTGGAAAGATGTGGATGAAGTGATAGATAGTATTCCCAGGGAGGAGAGAGTGGTGATGGGAGCAGACCTGAATCGACATGTTGGTGAAGGAAACAGAGGGGAGGAGGAAGTGATGGGTAGGTTTGGTGTCAAGGGAAGAAACCAGGAAGGACAGAGGGTGGTGGATTTTGCCAAGAGAATGGAAATGGCTGTAGTCAACACTTATTTCCAAAAGCAGGAGGAACATAGAGTGACCTGTAAGAGTGAAGGAAGAAGTACGTAGGTCGACTACATTCTGTGTAGAAGAGGAACCTGAGAGATATTGGAGAATATAAGGTTGTGGCAGGGGAGAGCGTGGCCAGACAGAATCAGATGATTGTGTGTAGAATGACTATTGTTGTGAAGAAGAGCAAAAGGGGGAGTCTGGAGGTCCTCCCCCAGAAAATTTTGAATAAAGTAGATGCCATTTCCTGCATTCTGGTGTATTTTAATGGTTGTTTAACATCTAGTTTTCCCTACAAAGCGAACACTTGGAACACCTTGGGATTCCCCT